TGTTTCTTAGGCAGTCGAAAAGCAACTTCCTGGCTTTATTCTTACCAGCTTTCACGCAAACAAGGGACATTAGTGTGCTGGCCTTTCTGCACGTTGTCTTCTGTTCACAGAACAAATGCCAATATTGCCTCCTAAGCATCTTTCCACTTTGCTGTTTATGTATCCCAGTGTTTGGAGAAATGTTGTACTTACTCTCAAAGACAGAACTACCAAGTCATCTCAAAGCAGTCTGATGTGGGCTGCAAGAATGCATTGAACACTCAATGTTTAACACAGTTTATGCAAAATACCGTCAGCTAGCAAATGATGATTACTGTTTGGTCATGGGACAGATCTTTCTTGTACCTTGGATGTGAATTCTGCTCAAGAGAAGTGAGGCCTATCATCCTTGTTCTAGACAAATCAGCAATACAATCCTTTCTTGACTTTTGTCAGAGGTTTCTGGTTTTGTCATTGGCATGTCTTGCTTATGGAAAGGAGGCATCGTTGCTTCCAGAAGGAAGTGACATGGAGTAGAAAGAAACAGAAGCTTGGCTCATCAGTCTCACATGGTTAGTCAGGGACTTGCAAGGCAGCTATTTCTCCTTTTAAGAATGGTTCAGTATTAGTGCCTGTTTAAGCAGTGTTTTTTCCATTCAGCTTTTGACAAAAATAGCTGTAAAGGAGCATGTGAACCTTAGAGCATGCAGTCTATTTTTTGATGCATCTTGGCTTACATTTGTCAGCTTCAGATTCTCTAGTACGACACATTTAGTCTGTGCAAAATGTCAAATACAAGAAATTGGTTTCTTGGGCCCAAAAAAAATCCTTTGAGTTCATTCCTGGAAGGTGATGATTACTTCAGTGATACGACATCACCTGCTCAAAGCAAGTAGTTTGAATCAATAGCTCTTCACTGCTGATTGTATTCTGTCCGATTGACTATTAAGTTCATTCACTCAATTCTTCTGTTTGGGAGCTTACACTGAGATTTTTTATGTGCCTTATGCTTTTTCCCATCCATCAGGTATGCACCTTACATTTTTGGCTCCAGTGGAAGATGGTTAGCTTGTTCAGATGGAACCAGTGAGCTTTTAACCTCCTGTGAGACTTCTCTTGCCAACCTTTTCTACAAAAAACCACTAACCTAGTTTCAATACACTATCTTTGCATTGCTCCTGAAAACATTTTTTCCACAACCTGCAGGCTGTGAATAATTCCCTAGTATGCAGATTGTTGACCTTATCTGGGAACATCAAAGCACTGCAGTCAGTGTGCTGATTCTGTGGCTTTCTATCCAGTACCTACAATGTAAGGTTCCTTTCAGCAGCACATCAAGTGGTATCTGGGAATCTGATAAATATAATGTAGTATTTGAACTGATTCCAGCTTCTGTGCCTAGCAATAATTTGGTCTTTTGTCTATGCCGACAAAAGGCAAGGGGGATCTTGCTTTTTTCAGTTGAGCATTCAGTAAAGTATTCACATAGAGGGATTTGGCTTTTCTTCTTTGAGTGTGCTGCTGCTTTTTCACTTACAAGTACATTGATGTGTACATTTGAATATTGCAATGAGGAAAACCCTGGACCCTCAGTGGCAGGAAGACAAAATGCTGTTTCCAGTGTCATACTGGAAACGTGGCTAGGCACAGCGTGGCACAACACTTAGAATGGCCACTTGTACAGTAGGGAAGCTACAGTGACAATTAAATACAGTTCAGCATGCCTCACACTTGCCATGGAAGGAGCATCTGGCAATGAAAAGATTGCGCTAGAAGAGTTTTAGTGCCAGTTATTTCACTTTTTGTGATTGACGTCTTCCTTAGTGCACTGACTTCAACGAAGTAAATGAAAGTCTTTTAAGTGGCTACAGAGCCTCTCAGGTATAATTATCAAATTGTCATTTTTAGCTGAGCTATGATTTGAACCAGTGACACAAAAGCAAAAAAAAATTATTGTAATAACCAGACTCTTCTATATGCTGTTCTCTTATTGTTTGCCTGGGTCATTGCTTTTAGATACAGTTCTTTTGTGCTTCTTGTGGATCTTAAAGCCTGATTGCAAATGATACCTATTCAGATATGCACAGCTGGTTTAATTACATGTGGAAATTCACTCCTTCCGTTTCTTTGGCTCCTGATCCTTGAAGAGGATGTATGGATAGATACAAAATCTCTGCTTAGATTTCATACTCTTTTTTTTCTTTCTTTTTCTTTTTTTTTTTTTAATACATATGTTGATCCTCCAGCATACTCACCAGTTCAGAAAACCACGAGTTAGTGGTTCTCAAGCCATTGAACCTACTTGCAGAACTTGCCCCAGGGAAATGATGTGTTTGTAAATCTTGCTTTATGGCGGTTCCACAGACCAGCTGCTAAGTGCTTATCTCTGTCTCATGGACTTAACAGTTTGAGAACCTCCTCCCTGAGGCCCTATATGTGAAACCTGGTTTCATGACTGGGGAAGAGAGAGGAAGAGGTTGTTCTGTTTGGTTTGCTGTGGCTAGGGTTTGCTAACTTCTCAGGAACATGCCAACCTCAGTTTTCTCTTTTCTCATCACTGAGCTGTTCGGTTTACAGTGGTTACTTTTACTCGTGATCCTTTTATGTTACTCTCTGTTAACATAAGGGATCAAAGACCAAAAAAGACTATAGAGAGACTCTTAGAGAGACCCTTTCAAAAAAGTCCCTGTGACAACTAGAATTTGCACAGTATCTTTGTCCTGGGGCCTCAGCTACTTTTTTTTTCTTTTCCTGAAAAAATAATAGTTTTTTTATAAAATAGAAAATAACAAGAATCTGTGCTGGTTTAACTGGTACAGATTGAACTGCAGTGCATGCAAGGATCAGGTCTCCCTGCCCTACATGCAATGTGCTGTTCCTGGTTTGTGTTCTGATTCATCATTCGTACTCTGTGCTGTCTCCTAACTGCCTTTGGGGCTGTTGGTTTGCTACCTTGAGCTCAGTCTTGCTGATCTGAATTAGAAGGCAAAGCTCAATCCAACCTTCCCTCCTCACCCCCTCCTCCAATTAGCATAGTAGAATCTAGTGAGGGGAATACAGGGTTTTTTCCTATGGACTGCTGTGCTCTGGTTAGCTGAGCACTCAGCTAACTCTGCAGAAATAAATTTGGGTTTAGAATGTGGGGTTTCAGACCAGTCCTGCTTTCTCAGGCTCAGGAGAGGTTGCTGTACCAAAAAGAATCGTTTCCCTTTGTGATGTGCTGACTCCTCTTGAACTCCTCTGTCGCTGTGGTTCTGCAGACTGCTGCAGAGTGACTCTTCTTGAATCATATTTGCATATCATTTCCTTTCATCACAGGCTGCTTGCTGGAAAATCAGCTCTCCTGTGTCTTGTATTGGTCATTTGTTTCTACCCTCCAAGAAAGAAGGTTTAGATTTGTTCCACATCTGCTCTGACCTTGTGTTGATTGTTTTTGTACTGGGTCTGTACACACCTCCCTCTTTCTGGCTATGTCCCAAACTGTGTTTATATTTACAGTGGTTATCTAGCATTTAGCTGTAAGCATGGCTTTTCCCTAGTCCTTTCTGAGACCAACATTACCAAACAAGTTATGTTTGGAAATTCCAGGCTCAAATTTTAATCTGATGTAGTTTACCTGAGTATGAACCTCATCTCGGACAGATCACCAATCTGTTTTTCGTATGTGCCTTATGATAGAGGAGAGGTGTTTTGTCTACCATTGACCCAAAAGAATTCAACAGAACAAACCTGGAATTCGTCTCAGCTCCTTCATTATGTATTAATTCTGAATTAACATTAGGAAATGTAAGTCTGACTCCATCCACAGGGATCCTGCCCGAGTGTCTGTGCTCGCTTTCTGCTGGATATGAAGTACATACTGTAACGGTGCCAGAATGTGTCTGTGCATACAGTTGTGTCCCTGCTGGGGGAGGTGTCCGTACATACATTTAGTGGATGTAGTGCTGAGACCAGTAATACAGGAGATACTGTCTGTTTGTTTACAATAGAAAGCTGCTACTATTTTGATACGTCTGTTTGATCCTCTATTACAGAACACTTATAGCACTATAAAAGCACTTGATCTGCGTGTACTTACTCTGGTAATAAAAATACCATAAAATCTTACTATGAGTCATTTTATATGTATATAGCTTTGTTTATACTCAGCTTTTAGAAACAACTTCTTAAAAAAACCTCCAAACACATGGATGAGTCATATGATCATCAGTAAAATGTCTAAGTACCTATTAGACTTTATAAAGTGTGGTCCATGGATTAAATGATTTGTAGCAGGCATTTATGCTTTATTTGAGATTCTGGATTAAATCTCAAAATGCCCAGAAAATTCCCTGCAGTATTAGCCCAGCTCTGGGTTCTCACCATTCTAGCTAAATGATCCTTACTCTTTCCTATGAAGTTGAAGGAAGAATAATTTCTAGCTCAGTCTTTGGGACAAAAATCTCTTTTGGAGCGATCCTTGTTCCTTTATGTTCTTTAGCTCTGTTAAAATTGTAGGCAGGACAGCTTTGATCCAGAAGTGAACCAAGGCCTCCTATACTCTATCGTAGTTGAGAAAGAAAACTTGTATAAAAGTGGGCTCAGCTGCCTCTCTTATTTCTCTCGTCAATGTCTGTTGCTCTGTTTTATAAATTAGAATGCCTATTTGTGTGTTGCAGTGGAGGTTTTCTTGATTTGGTTTTGTCTTTCCCTTCAGTGAGCTCTTCCCAGTTCTTGTCTTACCCATCATTTTTGGCTTGTACGTTCCATTAGCCATGGTGCTCTGTTTGAAGGTGGATCTTACTGCCACCTAACAAAGCACTGGCAGTTGTTTATATAGGAAATTGGGTAGTTCTTGCTAACACAACGCTCATCAGGATTTCAGATAAGGTTCAGGCTCTCTTATGGATGTCAGAAACAAGATTGGTTGTAGTAGGTAACAAAAAAAAATTATAATCTTTCTTGTATTAGAGTACTTAACTGTTGTGGTAAACCGACAGGGACTAGGGAGCAGAAGCTTTCTCTGAGGTGCCTGTGCTATAATGTTGTGTGAAGATTCTTGCTGTCCTGAGAACTCTGGTCCTGAGGCCCTGTTGAAGGTAAGATACTAGAAGTGGTGTACTCGAAGATCTGACTCTTTCCAAAAACTGATTGATAAGTAGTATGTGTTAGCTCTTCTCCAAGAAAATCAAAGCATGACAGATGGTATAGAGGCAGTTTTCATTTTAAATCCATCATTACCCGTCATGTCTATGGTATTTCATAATAGAAAGTAGATGATCTCTTGGTAGGAGTAGTGTGGAAATTTGAGGAGAAAATGGAAGGATCTGGTTACAGTTTTGGTGTGGGAGTCCTGTCATCTACTATTGTTTTTTTGTTTGGTTGGTTGGTTTTTTATTGTCTCTTGGATTACCTGAGAAAGTAAGTTATTTTCCCACTCTGTACTTTATAACATACTGCAAAAGGGCCCTTGTGGTATCTTTTCTGAACAGGTGTTTTTTGAAATACGTGTAAAAAAGTGAGGTGAAAAAAGTAGTGTAGTGTTTATCTTCAAGATTCATCCTCATGCAAGATGCTTTTTTTTGTGCAGATTAGAAGTGATACATCAGAGATTCTGGACGAGACCATTCCGCTCATTAAAGATAAGGTGATGGAAATGAACCACATCTATGCCAAAGTTGATAAATTAGAGGTTTGTTCATTGCATTAGAAAATTTACATCCTTCTTTTTATGTGTTTCATAGGTTAACTATAGGGTCCATGTATTTATATGGAGCACTTAGATGTTTATGGCTCTCTATTGTCTTATATTTGTTTTTAAATCAGTATGTTTACCCATGGTTCAGCACATATAAGTGTTTATGGTTTTGGAACATCACCTAGTAATTTATTGCTGTGGATTCTACAATTCCTAATGGTAGGTTAAAAGCATTAGTTGTGGTTTTGATGTTAATAATAATGCTAATGATGTTAATTTGTTTTGCGACTTGAAGGATTATCTGTAAAACCATTTATAACTTCAAAAATTCAAGTCTTGCATCCAGTGCTGGACATACCCATTTTAAGTTGTTGATGATCATCCTATGAGGTAGTGGAGAGATCTGAGAGCTCCCATCTTCTGTTGTGTCTGTTTTCGTGTTTATTGTATCCTGAATGAGGGAAGCCAATATGACTCACTAAGATGATGCCCTCACCATATTTAGTAAGCAGTACGTTAAAATTTATGTCAACTGAGGGCAAGTTTGCCTCTGGGAGGAATATAATGAAAACATGACGAGATAAATTGTGTAACGTTTAAAGTCAGTTTTAACTGACTCAAAGTGAAAGAAACCGAGTGTTTGTGGCATTAATTTCAGATAGGCAGGGCCTAAGCTTCAGGCTCTACTCCTGTACAAAGGAATATCCTCTGGTAGGGTTTATTATGCTGGGAGGGACAGGGCGATTGACTTAGCTTTCAGATAGTTTTCTTTAAATGCAATTCATTTTTAGTAGTTTACATTTTTATACCTACGTTTGGTAACAGGCTTATCAAACCACTTCATATTTTATGGACTTACACAGCACCAGGAGAAAACTTCAGACAGGAAACTGAGGCGAGGCATTTTGGAACAAATGTGGGAGTCAACTGTTAACCTGTTTAGAAACCTGTCTAGTTTTCAGAACCCAGTACCCCAGTCCCAGAAATAGCTAGCAGGTTCTCAGCATACAACAATTTGGCTGAACTTGAATGTATACTTAAGCTAGGACTGTGAAAAATGGCTAACTGAATCAGGTTCCAAACCAACTGTTTCTGGAAGTGCCTCACCCATTTAGGTATTTTTGCAGATTTCATGCTTATACGTGATTGGGATTTTTGAAGGGGTGGGGGGTATTTTTGTCTTTGAACAGTAAAATAAAATTAAAATTCTTAAGTAATTACTTGTGCCAAAAGTATGGTAAGCAAGAGGGCTCCTTATTGCTTTTTTTCTCTCTAATACAGAGAATGGAAAACCCCCACATTCCTGACCCCATTCCCTTAGTCCAGCTGTAGGGACATAGTAATTTGGAATATGAAGAAAACACCAGACTTTTCTAGGCTACAGGTTGTCCTTGAATAATGCAGCAGAATTTTGTTGAGAGGCTTTTTTTGCTTATCAAGGGAAGATAATACTTTGATTGGCTAGGAATCAGTTTTCTGCCCTAATGTTACCAGCTGTAATGGCAGTAATCTGAGAGCACAAGATTAAATTGGAAATTTGAGCAGTAGTTAATGTTTTAATTAGAACTTTAAATTTAAAGGTTCTAAAAGCTTAGCATCCATGGGGATTTTCAAGGGAGAAATTAACTTGTACTCCCAAGAGCAGAAAAGGGAAGGACTGTTGTGTAATGGTTATGTAGAATGAGAATCTGCTGGGGTTTAATTTTGATGTTGCCACTGGTACATTTTGAGAAAAAAAATTACCTGTTCAGCCTCACCTTCCCCATCCCTCAAATGGGCAGTGCTCAAAAAAAAAAAAAAAAGCTTAATCATTAATAGAGAGTATCAAAACTCTTTACAAACTGTTCTGTATTTTAACAAATAAATACTGTGTTCTTTCTAGTTGGCTTTCCCTTGTGGCTCAGATTTCAACTGAAACTGAACACGTATATGGTTTAGGTCAATAATTCCTGAGCTTTTTTAGCTAAAATCACCTGTTATTGTCTTTTCCTCTGCTGTCTACTCCCTCATACCTCTTTGGCCACTTTCTCACTCCAACCAATAGTAGCAGTCTCTTTCCGGGTTCTGAAGAGCTTTTAACCTCACTGCTGAAATGTTGCCAGGGCTTTAGGTGCTATACAAGTGCTTACACACCCTGTGTGCTGAAAAGGAAGCAAAGGTCTGCCCTTAGGTAAGGAGAAAAATTAGCCTTAGCTCATGACCAGTAGTTCTTCTCATGGCTGTAAACATCTGTAGTCTACTTCTGAGTATGTGCCCCTTGGATATTTATGCTAGCAGTAGTGCACTCTGAAGTCTTGTTAAAGCTTTTTCTTTGCCTTCTGATCTCTGGCTACAGTAGTGTTGAAGCCCAGCACAGGTGCTTTTAATTTTCATTAGGTGTGTTTTCTCTCTCCGTAGGCATTTGTTAAAATGGTTGCACACCATGTTTCCTTCCTAGAAGAGCAAGTGCTTGAAGCAGAGAAGAGCCATGGCACCTTTCTTAATACTGTCTGCAAATTATTTCAGTGTGCAACTCTCTCGTCATTTAAAAATGTGAGTATTTTTTAAGTTGCTTCCAGCAAATGGGAAAGTGATGTTAAATACCTTTTCTGTATCAAATATGGTCTTACAACAGATTTAATTATTAATTTTAAGTGGTGTAAAAGAACTAGCTACAGTTTGCATCTCTAAAGGGATTTTTTTTTTACATTTTAAAAAACTTGTAGTAATTTTTTTTAAGAGATACTGCTTATGCATCGAATAGTTCCAGCAGTAATTTTTTAAGATGTCTAGATTCTACTCCTGAATGAAAGGATTTTATCTGTATATGTATGGTGAGAGCTCTTTCAGTGAGTTTTAGCGATGTTTGCTGATAGAAGAAGAATGTTGAGAGTCAGGGATAATGAGATCTGATGTGGACTTGAGGAGGCTTTACATACTCTTCATCCTTTCTGTCCCTGTTCTTTTCCAATAATGTCTTCATACCGTGTACCTTTACGCTCTGTTTTCCTTCCCTAAGCTCCTAGGTCATTCTGTAAATCTGTTGTTTCCCCAGCAATTCATCACAATCTCCAGTTAGCCTTTTCTGAACTCATCCCTTCCGTTCCTCCCTCTCCATCTTGATGTAGTATCTACCATGTTTTCAGTCTTAGCATATGTCTCTCAGGTTCCTTGTTCGAGTCTCAACTACTTCCCTGAGTTCTCTTGTCCCTTCTGTATTTCTGCCATTATGTTTCCGTCCTCGTGCTCTTCCAAGGGGCTTTCGTACCAGTATGTATAATACTGGGTAGGCACACACAGGTATCGGGGATCATGTACATACAGCTGAACCACTTAAAATTTTTGTCTGGTGTCATAGCAAGCTCTGGAAGTTTCAGTTTCAGGAAAAGTCCAGTTCAGTTTCTGCAGATTCGGGAGAAACCTTAACTGCTTAAAGAGAATAATGAATATTCAGGCTGATTACAGAGGCATGGACAGGAGATGGTGCATACTGATTTAATCTTCAGCTGTCAAACTCTAGTGAATCTTTAGAAAACCACAGTTTATATAGACTCAGTAAAGAGTTGTATCTTGGCCAAATTTGGTAATATTTTCATAGCAATGGGAAAATATGTCCCTGATATGAGAATGGTTCACTGCCAATTTAAAATCTCTGCTATAGCTTATGAAGGCATCTTGTCAAAAAAGCCTAACAGCACATACTTTAATTTCATTATCTGAATTGGCTTGGGTTTGTTCCCTAAAACTTTCCAAACACGTTAAACCTGCAGCAGATACCTAGGCTGGAAAATACAGCCAAGCTGGAAGTTCTGCAAGGTTGGTCTGCCTATACAAATAACGCTGTATAACTGGGATGCCAACAAGAATGTGGAGAAGGCCAGGCTACTTACTCAGAAGCTGGCTTGAGTTGGGCTTGAAGACAATGTAGTGTTTCCATTTTTTTTTCCTTATAATTACAAAAAAAACTTTTGAACTATTGCATAATTGTGTATTCATGCTTGCAGGCATCTTGGTATGATAGTATTAGTGAACAAAAGACAAAAATAAATAGGGAATGGTGTAGCTTCCTACTGTAGTGATCTTATCCCTCCCTCCCATCCTTTCTTTGAAAAAATAGTACAACTAGAAAGCATGGTGAGAGAGATAACAAGGATGTGCACAGATAAGGAAAAGTTCTCTCACAGAAATTTCTAACCAGATGAAGACTCAGCCTGAAGGAGAACAGGACAGATTTGTGAAGCCATTCTGTATGTGGAGCAGGTGAATAGAGAATGATTATTCCCTCCCTCCTATAATTCAAGAACTGGGGTCATCCAATGAAATTATCAGCAGGCAAGTTCACAATACAAAAAGGGAGGTACTTACTTTACATCCTGTATTAATATGGCGTAGAACTTATATCCACAGGATGTTTTATGTTCCCAAAGCAATTAGAAAAATTCATGGGGGAAAAAAGAATCCACCAACGGGTATTAAATAAAATATCTGTTCTTGAGTCATGTATTCTTGAAGACTGGGAAATAAGTTTGTATATTTACCCTGTAAACATTTCCCTAGGCAATCCCTTCAACTGGTCACAGTTTAGGAGGGATTATTTGGTTGCACAGACCTTTGAATGATGCGGTACAGCTGCTTGTTAATAACTTTGACAATGTAGTTCTTACTGTAAATTCTGGCTCTGAATGACAATGCTCTGTGTTGGTAAAGGAATTACTCATTCTAGTAGAAGTGTGAGGAAAGGACTGAATTGTTTAAGGACGTCAATGGAGTTTGACTTTCTACAGCAGCATTCCTTTTGGTTTGACTGTTGCCTGAAACCTAGTAAGATCCCTGCCACCAACTATCCAAGTTTCTGTACTCCCTTCAAATCTATTTCTTTCTGGTTGTCCATCCTTTTTCCCCTGTTATGTAGGATATCATTGCAGAGATGCCCCTTTGGCATCTTTTGCCATTTGAAAATTAGGACTGTCCTGACCATTTTTGTGGGCAAGTTTAACTTGTTGTGAAATGGTAGTGTCCAACCTGTGGATCTTCTCCCTAGCCTTGATCAGACTGGGTAAAAAAGTTTGAGAGTGCCTTTCTCTGAGTAGAGTGTGGCCTGTATGTGTATTGCAGCTAAGTTCTTTCCTTTTCTAATTAAACATGGATGCTATTTTAAATAGCAAGGGAATTCCCTTGCTCTATTTAAATAGCAAGGGAAATCTCATTCTCAGTGTTTTGCAATTATATTTCAACGTGCAGCAAAGTCCTGTAATGTTTCCTTTTTGTCTTTCACTGTGTTTTTTGGGTATTCAGAAAGATGTTTCGTGTAGACTTCCAGTGCCCAGTAACACTGGGAAAGGTGTCTAATCTGTGGGAGAAAAGTGAGCAATCAGAATTCAGTCTTTGTGTAGGAATATCCAGAGGTGGTCTGAAAAGGAGCGACCTTATACTAAATATAAATTACAAATACAACTGGGTAAGTCTGACAGGTTATAAGAATGTAACATCTCCTGAGGGAACAGAACAGAGGAAATAACTTTCTCCTGTGAAGTTTGCGGCTCTGTGGAAGAAAAGCTTTTCTTCTGTAAAGCTTGAACTTGGTATGGGAGAAACTGTGATTTCAAATCCTTTATCTGAAGTTGTTATCTGTGCCCTGGTTGAATGGGGTTCAGGAATCTTAGAGAAAGGACAGGAAATCTATTTTAGAAAACTTCAGCATGTGGTGTTTATAAAAACCACTAGTATCTTTTCCAATGGAAGAAACTGAATGTCAGCAACTCTTGCTGTTTTGTCATGCATCTGGTGATACCTGGTATTTTCTTAAAGCCAGACATTTTCTTTCAATGTCATTGGCTGAGAATCATGTCAAATATTTATTTTTAGAGTAATTTTTAACCCTTGTATAGTTGCAGGGAAAGGCTTATAAAATCATAACCTACAAAAAATCTCATGCCAATGGTGTGAAGAAAAAGTGCACATTTGTTAGGTGGGGGTTTTTTTTTGAGGCTTTTTTCTAGTACTATTGTAATCTCTAGAACAAGCAGCTGCTTATCTGAGGTGGGGTTTGCTGTGTTGTCTTGGCTAAGGTGCTGGCTAATGGTTTTTCCTGACACCTGGGGTAGATTCTGACAAATTGGGAAATTGATAATGGGATACGAAGCATTCTGTGTGTTACTTTATTAGTCCATCTGAGCTCAGTATTGAGCAAAAGTTACTGATGAGTTATACTGACTAAAGTGTGCAGGGAAGAGACAGATACTTAGCAGTTCTTTTCAGTGGTTACCACTGTAAAGTGTGAAAGTGGACATAGACTTCTGGCTGCAGTCTCCATAGACTGGTAGTAGATGCATTCTCTGAAAGAAGAAAGCTCAGGAGGCCTAAGGAGCTATGTGGAGTTAAGGCTTTGCTTAATGTAGAAGACAGCTAGCTGGGTTTCAATTTTCATAATTAAACCCTAACAAAAATAAATCATTGGAATAAGAAATATTTCCTATATTGAGACTTTGCATTTTTTTAACTTTTGCAGATCATCCTTCAAATGTAACTCGATGTAGGTTTCATCTTCGCTATTTGCTGTATATTACCAGTTTCTTTTCTTGAAGACTCCAAAGAAGCACATATTGGGATTTCTGTTACTGTCTTTGCCGCTGACAATGTGTGATCACATACATGTCATGCTACTTCTTTGTGTCCTAATTTACCTCACAAGATAATGTTTAGTGTTTCCAAAATGCTATGAGATTTTTTCTGACAGCCTTGAAGAAAAATATTTGTTAAATTATTACTAAAACATACCAGATGGGAAAGATGAGAAGAGAGAAAATAGAGCGGAGTATTTCAGAACTGGGGGTGTACTGTGTTCATATTTAAAACTCATTAATTTTCAAGTGCTGAATACTACCAGCCATTTTTTTAATATTGGGGAAAATAAAAAAATCTGACATACTTAAATATTTAATGTTAAGAACTTTGGGGGTGTGTGCAGCTTATTTTACCTGCAGCTATGCTTGAAGTTCGTCCGTTTCCATTCTGGTTTGGACCGATTCATTAACTGATTTGGGAGCCCCAGAGTGGTCCACCAGTTCTGTGTTGAGAAAGGTAACACTTAAAAATGGAAGGATTCAAGTGAGGGGATACAGTAGGCCCAGAAGTCAAGATTTCCACTACCCTTGGCTTTAGCCCTCATTCTCCTGGTTCTTTGAGGGAGCCTGCACAATTCTCGAAGTGAAGTCAGAGTTTCTCACCAGTTTGCTGAGCCTGGTGTATAGCAAAAGAGCTTGAGAGACTGCAACGCTGCTTGGATGTCGAGCAGTGCCGCTGGTTTGGAGGGGCAGAGTGCTTGGGGCCTGAACACTGCACGTGGGAGCAGAAGTACCCATGTGTACACACCTGTGGATTGAGACCATCGGGGAGGCTGGGGGAGAATTGGGAGTTTGGGCTGGTGGGATCCAGCAGGCGCACACACAACACTGATGACAGTAACAGCATGCCGTTTTTAAGTGTGCATGAACAGAAATCGAAATACACAATACTGCCTTTTCCCACTGGAACCAATTCTGTTTGAATGCACT